GAACAATAATTTACATATTTTTTCTGTGTTACGCATAATAATATATATTTTAATAAATGTAAAAAGATTATGTATATATACAATAAATTGGAGTATAAAGGGTTGAACATCGTCTCCAAGGATTACCACTAAACTATGTTTTTGTTGGCATATATATAAATTTTTTTAGTTACTTACGATTACATAATATTAAATGTTTAAACTAATAAAAAAATGTGTTAAGTATTTTTATTATTTTTTAGTCATGAATTTGAAGCCATTACTATCAACTTGTTTCACTATTTGACATGCCTACTCCTCACCCACTAAAAGAACACTAAAATTTTAATCCACATGTCGACATTTTAATATATCTATGATTCAAGATCAACATTTCATACATCTRCAATTCGACATCCACATTTTTATAGTATCACAAGTAAWTCAACAAAATATTAACAAAACATTACTATCGAGATATAATATAATATCAATAATTTTTAACTTATTTAAAAATAATAAAAAGTTTATCTGTTATTAATTCTTTTATTTTTATAATTTTAACTATCCACCGAAGTTTCATTGATGCTTCCAATGATATTTCCATAAGATTGTGGTCACAACATTTTTATTTACATTCTTTCATGCGATATACTGCATTTTGGTGGGAAAAGAAACATCATTATATCATGTTTATGCATAAGTTTGCACAACGGTTCTTCACGAACTAAGCTCGAACCCGRTCTCCGGTCTCGACCTGAACRTCTAGAGTGGACCTGCATCAGAGGGTAGAACACTCCGACGTCCAARTCAGTATAGGTCGGACTCCGTATTTAGTTCGAGGTGAGGTTCGATACCTGAACGTAAAATGAGGTCTTCTATTTATAGGTGGTGGATCCGACAGTACTCACGACCGGCGGTTATATGTTTTTTCTCATGTCGGACCTGTCGGGCTCTAAACAGATCGAACCCCAACCAGGTCGAACCTTGGCATCTATACTTAGCCTTTTTGGATGGGCGAACCCGATCACCTCGGCAGGTTCGAGGTGGACCTGGGATAATTTATTCGTTGAATTCCAATGAGTGTCCTCCACGTGTCCAAGGTAATTACCCCCAAACATATCAAGATGTCATTTATTTGTTTATATAAACCTTTACTTCTTTGAAAAAATACACTTCTAATCTCTAATCTCTAATTTTTTGAGTAGGTGTCAATTTGGTATCTGAAATTTCAAAATGAATATTTTTTATCCATGAGATTTTAAAATGAACATTTTTTTGTCAAAAAATTCTTACAATCATTTAGAACAAATTTTCAAACTATGGAGACTAAAAACGTCTATTTTAAAACTTCATAGACTAAAAACGTTAAACTTCAAACTTGAGGTATGTCAATTATCGTTGAGCTATACTCGCTTTGGCATATCCATATTTGAATGGTTATGCCCCTCTTTCTAATTATTCCTCATGCAGCCATTTTCTTTGCATATTGAATACTATTGATGTATAGAATCTCCTTTATTTTAAGTAAAAATTTTAGTGGATGGAAGGTGGATATACTCTTGAAAGGAGAAAATTAGAAGTTTTCTTTTTCAGAATATTAGGTTCCAAATATAGGGGTGAAAATACACGACTTTTTAAGAAAATTTAAATGCCTTAACTATTTAGTTAGGTTCATGTAGACATAATTGAGCTAATTGCTTCATCCTACTTATATTATTTATTTTTATTTTGAATTATTATTTTAATGATAATCTCAATTATTTAGTTTCAGTAAATATAATCTACATTAATGTTATGTATTAAGAATTTACATCAAATTCATAATTATGCAAAATATATATATATATATATATATATATATATATATATATATATATATATAAAGAAGTCAAATCAGCATAAAGAAGTGAAAGGTAAAAGATTTTTATGAGAGACTATGAACACTAGCATTTAAATTTTGATTTACGAGGAAATGTGCAATATTTGATATACTAGATGAAAACAGATTTGGAAGATTATCGGTAAAAAAAATTTGTACATTTATCTTCGACTAGCCTTTTTTTCCAATATGAACATAGTTCTAGTAATCAAGGTACGTTATCAATTCCATTGAAATGTTGGAAAATTTTRCCATGTATTGTTGAACTAAAAAAACTATTTTTTTTAGATACAAATAGTTTTATTTTATATTTTATATAGCTTAAATAAATTTTAGTTGATTAATTTCAAAAGTCCTAATTATCTTAAAATGAGTAGCCCCTAAATTACTTCTGCAAAGAAATTACTTATGTCATCAAACATTTTTTTCAAATAACATTTATACAATTAATACTCTTACGTCACTCTGGTGAAATATTTCACAAATCCTTGCATTTTAGAAAATTTCCTAGAATTAACTTATGTATTAATCCTAGGGGTGTAACTCGGTTCGTTTGTACGAAAACTGACCCGACTCAAAATTAGTCAGTTTATGTTCATGCTGGTCGGGTTTTTTTTTCTCCTTTTTTATTCTTCTTTGAAAATCTAAACTCTAGAATCTATCAACAAATCTTGAAACCATGCCAGTTTGAAGAAAAAATACTTTCTTTATTTGAAAATCTACTGGTAGATGTTGCAAACCCAAATATACAAATTTAAAAAAAAAAAGAAAACTTTTTCTCCTTTCTATCTTCATCTTTGAAATCCAACAAATCTTGCAAACCCGAATATGCAAATTCGAAGGAAAAAAATCTTACTCTCCTCTATTTCTTCTTTGAAAATCCAACGGATGTTGCAATGCAAATATGCAAATTTTTTAAAATAAAATCTATTAATTGTATCACCAAAAGTGACTTGACCGGGACAAAAATTTATGATTTCTTTTTTTCAGTAGGTATGATTTTATTCTGTCTAAGGGATCAAGTATCAATACATTTTCTAATAGTATGATTTTCTAAAATTATAATTATAGAAAATAAAAAATATATATTTACATGTAAAGAGTATTATCAGTATGTTTCATTATAGAAAAAATATATAAATATTTTATCCCAATAATCAAATCCAACATTCTTCTATACTCAAAAAAAAAAAATCCGACATTCTTCAACTACTCTGCAAGTCATGTGGGCCTCATCTCAGTAATCAAGTCGAAGGTTTTATTCGAGTAAAGCCAAAAAAGAAAAGTAAAAAAAAAATCAAATCAAATCAACGGTGGATATACATTTTATTACATTACAACTAATTTGCTTCCGTCGGATGAAAGGGAAACAAATTTCAATTCAGTTCCTCTATGAGAGAGCCTATACATGTTCAAACGGCTACTTTCTATAAGACCCAACATATTTGATCACCTTCAATGCGTGGTTTCAAAAATACAGTAATCCAGCAATATGAGTTACATGGTTTGCCCRAACGGGTGCGTACTGGTCATGTGTACTGTCGTCTCATATACGTGTCTTCGTGAACGAAAACGGGGTCTCCAGATCTCTGTTGAGGAGGAGGAGGGGGAGGGAATTGAGGCTGCCCCATTGCAATGTTTGCTTGAGGAGGAACTGAAGGATTGCCCCACACTGTAGGATTATTTTTTGCAGAGTTCAATATGAGGTAATAGAACAGTCCCAGCACTATACTTGCAGTGGCCAAAATGGTCGCGACAGCAAAAACCCCCGGTTTCAGAACGTAGCACTCGTAGTAACCGAAATAGTAGCTTTCTTCACCGCGTCGGTCATTCAGCGCAGCACCGGTGAGCAACAGGAGGAATGCTATGATGAACGTAAACCTGCAGAAAAAATTAAGTTAATGGTACAGAGAAGGAAGTATCTGGTTGCTCAAAGCCTCAAACTTGAGTTTTCCCACAAACACGAATCCACAATGGAGGAGTACACAGTACAAGGAAAATCTCTGTTCATTCAATTTCAAGAAAGGAWCTTAAGGTATCRATCTTTCTTTTAGTTGTTGGATTAAATCAATCAAAAGATTTTGCCAAGAACAATGGTTCAATCCTTTCCTCTGTGATGATTRAGGTTAGGGAAGTCTCTTCTCCAGGCCAAGATTTTCGATAAACCTAACGGTCATAACTTTCATAATTTTAACAATGCAGAGAACAAAAACAGYGGAACCGTCTAAAAGCTAACATAAAGAAGGTTATGTAATAACGAACAATGTCATAACAGAAATTCAGACCATAGAGAACCTGACGAGAATTCGAAATAACTAATTAAGTCAACCCCAATACAAGAGCAGATAGTATTTGACAGTAATGCAACCTTCAATTCGACCAAGAGTAAGGTTCCTTCAAATTCATATAATATCTCTCATGATGTAATAGAAAGCATCAAACCATCAACTAAATGCAAACTCTGATGAGGAGAAAAGGGCCGAAAATTACCAGGAAATCACGAAGCAGACCACGGTTGTTCTCCATTTAGAAGCGGGAGGCCGAGGCCCCCGTATGCAACAAATGCAACCTGTCGAAACATTTATCGTTAACTGAGCAACCAAAAGTGATAGAGCTGCTGCCAAACCAAGCCCCAACGCTGGACTCCGGGGATATGTGCACGTATTAGGAGTGACTTGAATAACTTGACTAAGCTGCCAAATGAAAAGCCAACTTATCAAACTTTGTCCGTGGGATCGTAGCATTCGAAAGAAATGTTTTTTCTAATGAGAAACCGCTATTTCATTTAGAGAAATGAACAAAATATATGAGGCATAAAAAAAAACAGCCCAACTAAAGGACACCACCTAGAAACAGAGTCTCTCGTCCAGAAGAATTTGAAATCAACATCAACATAGATCAAGGAAAGAAGAAAAAAGCCAATGATGATTAAGATCATTAGATTAGAAACTAAGTCTAAACTGCAAGGTTCTCATCTAATGATAAGATTAAAAAAAAAAGGTTGGGATTCATAATCATAAGACCAGTTAGGCTTAATTCTCTTAATGACATGAACAGAATTGGTAACTTAATAAAATGTGTGGGATTAAACGAACTTKTTCTTTTCTTTTAGTTGTAGGGACCATATTTAAAATGAGGAAAGTTTAAGAGAACAAAGACTATATTTTAACCAAAATTATCAGTAAATTTGTTTAATTATTTAAAATAAAAAATAAAAAACAAAATCATTATCAAACCGACTCTAGTTATTACTTGGATCACTTGCATGTAATTGGAAGTTTSGATCACTTGCAGGAAAAAACAAAAAGACAAAAGCAAAAATAATTTGCTTTATTTGATCCAAATCAGCATTCTCAATTATTGCTAATTAAATAAATTAATAAAAAAAAACAGTAGAACAAAATTTGACATAATTTCCCCCAATACATCAGTCAAATCAGCATTCTCATTTGTTTTCTGATATAAATGAGAAAAAAAAAATTTAAAAAGGAAGAAGAAGATCGATTCAGAGTAGAGCTTGGGAAACAAGTAAAGATAAAAAGAAGCGGCCAAAAAAAACAAAGCCATAAATCTGTGTTTTTAATTCACCAACAACTTTTTTCAATCAGAACTTCAAATTACACCATAAAAATCTCTGTTCATAAGCACAACTTTCAGCAACCTTTTCCTTCACTTTCTTTTACACAAATTTTCTCATCAACCAAACAGAAAATCAACCGAAGAAATATCAGACAATCAATCTCAGAAAAACGAACATAAATCTAAGTAAAGAAGAAGCATCTTCACCTTGATCCGCGTGCCCTCAGCGGCGAATCCAGTGGCGACCACCAAAAGCCCCAAAAAAGCAACCACAGAGCAGACCGCCACAGCCTTCCTCTCCATCTTCGCCGCCGTCGACGGCCTCTGACGATTCTCGGGGAGAAAGAACCGTCGAGATTTGATGAAACTTCGAGGTTAAGGTCGAGATTTCGGTGGGCGAGGAAACCGTGGTACAGTCGTAAAGAAGTTAGTTGTGAAGAAAATGGCAGGTGCTGAAATTTGACGTCGCGTCTGAGAAGGGCTTTGGACTCGATCGGGAATCGGGATGATGTGGCGGTCATACGACGTCGTATTTGCCTTGATGGCTGCGCTGAGCCGCTGATGGGACGAGAAGTCCAAGTCGATTGCGAAATCAAAATTGACATTTGACTTCAAAAAAATAAAAATTTYAATTAAATAAATAAAAGGAAGTACTAGGTAATCATTTTACCTTCTTAAATAAATTGTTGTTTTGCCCTAAAAAGAGTTGTTTTAAATTAATTGTTATTCAAAATTAATACCAAAAGGAAACGGAAAAAAAAACAAATTCGTTCAGTAGGAATCAATTTTAGCCCCAAATTTTGGTTGGATTATAAATTTGTTTTTTTTTTAATCTGAATTCGTAAATGATTTAACCAACCAAATGATCCTAGCTAACAAATCTATAGAGCGATTGTGACGATTGATGCTGATTTCCTGAGATGTCATGGAAATATTWCGTATATCTTATTCTGGATAACTTAAACATAGAAGTCCAGCATGATACCATGTCGAATGCATTCTAATACTTTAAAACTTAATTTGAAAGCAAACATGTATGAATCAAGTAGAGTAAGAGAGCAATAATCTCGATGATATATTTTTGCTTGGGAGTGCGTGTCAAATTCTCACAAATAATTATGAAAATTGACTTAACTCGATTYAGGTTTCTTTTCCCTTTATGTAAGGAGGAGAGGGAGAGAGACAAAGAGGAAAGACAACCAATCGGRGGCATGGGATCCCTCTCGATATTTCGTTTCAAACGCCTACTGGGTGAGTTTGTCGATCCCCCRACTCAACATCGAAGTGGTCTCATGCGYGACCATCATGTTGTTAGTAGCAGCCATCGAGTTCGGATCTTGCTCCTCTTCAGTTTATRGTCGCACATCACCAATTCTTTTCCCGCGTAGGAAGGCAACAAAGTTTCATGAGACTGCAATGAAGTGGAGCAGCCATGACACGAAGTTCTCGCAGACTTGTTGAAGTAGTTCAACACATTRTTGTACGTAGAACTGATTGTAGAACCAGGATTTCAGGTGCCCCAGACAAAAAAAAAGTATGGTCTTTGTGAGGAGAAAGAAGAGACACCTCTGTTTGCATTGTGAGTGGTCGGTGTGCTCAGCCTTCCTCTTCCCGTGCGCTCCACACTAATCTGATGCTCTTTGACCACCTACTTTAAATATTGACGTGTTCTCGCAAGATATTTTCATGTGCCGCTATGTGGCGTCTCCTTATCAGTGACTCTTTTAGATAAATTGTACTTGATTTATTTTATGTGGTTAATATAATTAATAAAGTGCTAATCTTATACATCTATAAAATTAATTTTATGGCTGCGCTAACATAACAATTGAGAACATGCCACAAGAGTACTCTCTAACATTTATTCTTAAAAAAAAAAAAAAGAGTAATCTCTAACATTCATGTTTTCACTTGCGGTTGAGAAAAATTTAATATTGAACAAAAAAAAAACTTAAATAATTTGATTTTGTCAAAATTGCTAAGCTAGTCAAAGTCTTTTTTTTACAACAATATGTTGGGTAGGGGATTTGAATTCATAATCTCTTGGTTTGAGATATAACTAGTCAAAGTCATTCTATAGTCTATAGAAAAATATTTAATCGATTTTTATAACATGTAATGTAAGTCTAACTCTCATTTCTATTTAATGTGGATGTTCATTTTTTTAAATAGTAAATATTTCTTTCTTATAATGTATTTTAAAAAAAAAATCTAATTTTACTCCATCATTTCTTTTCACATAGAATAAATAATTAAAAATAATTTAGAGATGCTAGTCATTTTTATAATAATAAAGAGTTAATTGTTATTGTCTAAACTTATTGAATTTGTAGTAAAGAAAAAAAAACTTATTGAATTTGTTTTCTCCTTTTGAATCATGTGCTTTGTTATGAGATCCTCTCTTTTTTCTTTTTTTTTTAATATATTTACTTTGAAAAAAAAATTTATCTCAACTGCTTAAATTACATCTCTATTTTAACGTATTATACTGCTTAAAAAAAAGAAGCATTATTTAAAAAATAAAAGCTCTATTTAAATTCCCACATTCGAAAGTGACTTATTCGTTCTTAGTGGGTCCTCAATATCAACCTATTTAAATTCTCACATTTGAAAGTGACTTATTTATTCTTAATGGGTCCTCAGAATCAACCTACCAAGCAGTCATC